AAATATCTACAAAGTGGTAATTGTGTCGTAATGTGTTTGTTTCCAACCTTGTTTTTTTTTTTTGTTAAGAAAATATTTAAAAAATAATTTATACGTATGATATTCATTTTTTTTTTTTTTTTCAAACGTAATATTATGTCAATAATAAATAAACGATGTGTTGATAATGAATGCATTAACGAGTTTTTTATGCATTTATTAGGAATCTTTAATTATAATGAAAAGTATCAATTAATACCATTCGTCGGTTAATTAATTATCGTTTTACACTTGCTATTTTTTAAAAAAAAAAATATAATTACACATGAAATATTTAAATTTAATTATAAAAAATAAATCAGTGAGATTTTATAGTAAAAAAAAAAAAAAAATTCACGAAGGTTAAAAATATTTTTTCACGGGGTTATATGGTGTAGATAAAAGGGTTAAACTTTAAAATCAAATAACCATTTATTACACGTTATTTATTAATTAAATATATATATATGTATGTATGTATGAACCAGTTTATAAGGTTATAGGTTTGACTGTATAATTGACGTGTTCTTCAATCACCTTGATCCGCATATTTTACCACGCACATATATATATTCTTTTCCTCTTTTTTGATTTGCCGAAAAATTTTCATTTAGATAATATTAATGAATATGTTGTATACGTACGTATCCACATTAATTTTTTATTAACCTAAATTTCGAAAGGTAAATAAATAATAACACATTGAAAATTATCGTTATTAAATTTAAACTTTACATATTAATAAAATTATATATATTAAATACATATACGAAATGAATGAAGGATTATATAATGATATTATCCTATTATTAAAAATAACGAATTTAATAAAATTTTATCGAATTTTTTTTTGTTCTTTTCTGTATATATATATAAAAAAAGAAATTGTTAAAATAAAAATTATTATTATTATTTTTATTGATTTAATATCATTATGAATTAAAGTTGAAATTATTTATTTCATTTTATGATTTGTGAAAAATATGCTGATTTTTTTAAATTTTAATTAGTTTAAAATAAAATCAAGGTTTTTAAAAAGTTTTAACCGTTTTTTAAATTATTAAAATTTTTTTTTTTTTTAAACTTCGTTTAAGCCATTAATGTGTCTGCCATAATCTCCGTGATTTTTTTTTTTTTTTCATAAAACTTTTATTATACATTAATAAATTCATTTAAGTAATTAACTTATATGAAAATGATATTTTTCAAGCCTTGATTGAACAAATAATATCTTAATGAATCAAATATGAAAAATAATTTTTTTAAATATTGTTTGAAGGAAAAGTTGCACCGACATTATTTAATTGTCTATCTAATTCGTGTAATAAGGAAAGTAGTAGTAGTAATAATGCACGATTATAATACATTTATATAATTAATTGATATAACAAACCATTTACATTATTAATCGATTACAACATTTTTAAGTATGTGTGAGACTTTTTTTTTCTTTTTTTTTTTAATTTCAAAAAAAAAACAAGGAATTTTTACGAATGTTTATTTTCATAAATATAATTAATTGAACCACATATTACATTATTACCTTTCTTTTATTTGCACTTACTTTTTTGTTTTTTTTAAAAAAAAAAAAAAAAAAAATAAAACATTAATTAATCAATTAAAATTTAAAATGCAAATGAAAATGCATAAAACAGGAAACTTATGTAGAAACGCGTGTTTATTTTTATGTTCGAGCTCGGAAAATTAAATATCGGATATATTGAGAAAGAAATTATGGGATTTGAATAAAAATTGAAGAAAACTTGAGGAAAATTTTTTTTTACAAATAATATATATAACAATTATTATTAATTGAATTATTATAATTAATTCAAAGAAACTTTTAAATATTTATATA